AGCGCGGGGCGGAGAGGAGAGACAAAGCAAAAAGAGGAACAATAACAAAAGAAAACACAAAAAAGAAAAAAAAAAAACCTTAGAACACAAAAAAAATCCAGAAAAAAACCTGAAATAAAAGCCCGGAGAATTGTCTTCCAAGGGGGGTGGGAGGAGAAAGCAGGGGGCGGATGAGGACGTCTGGTTCTCTCTGAGACACTGGCGGGCGCGCGTTGAAAGCCCCGGCGCCCGGGTCTTCCTTCTCGTGGGCCTCAGTTCACCTTTAAGGGATTGGGACCCAGGCGTCCATTTGCCAGGACTGGGGGAAGATTAGGGAGGCGGGATTATATTATGGGGGCTCGTCCCTACCTCCCATCACCTCTCCTGACTCCCCACCAAGATTTTGCAGAGAGAAATGGCTTTTGTACCAGGTCATTCTTTATAATTAAACTCACAGTATCCACCCCCTCGAGCCGGCCCCGCCTCCTTCCTGGGGAGGCAACGCCCCCTTCGGGTTTCCTGGTGGGTAGCCGGAGCTAGTTTGGACGGTGCGCAAGTGCAGCCGGGGCTCGCCCCTACGCGTCAGTCTTCCTCGGTTGGCTCCGCCCCCAGAGCTTCAAGCATGCGCCGTCGGACGAGGGAGCGGCGCAGGTGCAGGCGGTAATCTCCGAGAAGCAGTTCGTCGTGGCGCACGAGCAGGTGCGCGAGTCCGCGAAGGCGGATACCGGAGCGCAGCAGGCGCGAGCGAGTTTGGAAGTCTGTGACCGTGATGAGCCACCTGCAAGGGGGCGGAACCAAGAGGAGAAAGAGGGGCGGAGACGGGAGGGGAATCGCTGGTAATACTAGCCCCGCCTTTGATTTTCGAAATGTCCCTGCCCTCACCCGTCACTGCATCCCTAAACCCATCCCCAGCCCTGCCCTCTCGCCTAGATCAACCTGTACTTCGATCTTCACCAGAGTCATTCTAGGCCCCATCTTCTCTCTCAGCCTGGTTCTGCCCCCTAATCGGGGTCTATCGAGGCTCCAACCTTTCAAACCCCCGCTCGAGGACCAGACCCTCACCCAGCACTCCAGGCCCCGCCCCTTCGTTGTCCAGCCCCGCCCTTTCAGAGTGGCTCTCAGGCTTCTCTCCAGTCATTGGTACCTCCTGGACCCGCCCCCAACTTGACACTCCAGGCCTCAAGCCCTCTAATCACGCCGGGTCCCGCCCCTATAATGCGCAAATTCTAGGCTCCGCCCCCTCAGCTGCCTTCCCTATCTCCGGCCCCACACGCATCCCTGTCACTTCCTCGGTCACTCAAGGTACTGTTACTTCAGATCCCACCTTCTCTCTGATCTCACCTGGGCCTGCCCCCTCACCTCACTAACTCTCGGTTCACCCCCTTCCCGGTTCTCATTCTTATCCCCGTTGCCCCGCATTTACATCAACCAAGCCCTTCTTCGATTTCTCCAGTCCTTGCCCACCACTGCCTTAACTTCCCGGCCCTGCCCACTCAGCTCCTTCGCCCCGACTCCGCCCCCTCCCCCGCGCTCACTAGACCCCATCCCTCACCGCCCTCACTCCTAGCCCCGACCTCTCGCCGCGCTCACGGTCGCCTCGCCCCTCCCGATCGCTCCAGGCCCGCCCCCTCCGCGAGCTCACCGGTCCCTGCGCCCCGCAGTCCCACAGATGACGTTCAGGTTCTCAAAGCGGATGCTGCTCACGCGGCCACTCTCCATGGCCCCAGGCAACTCGGCTTCCAGCGCCTCCAGCACCTCCAGGTGGGTTAGGTCCTCCTCGGGCTGGGGGAGTCAGAGAGCCTCAGCTTGTGACACCCGGGCTCAGTACGGGTTCAGAAGTCCCCACCCTAAGCCCCACATGCAGAACGTGCCAGAGGCTCAGGTAGCAGTTGAGGATCGAGGATCACTCTTGATCATAGGGTCCTGTCGCTCTCTCAGGCAGAAAAGCATCTATTGACTCATTCAAGGTCATTCTCCAAAAAATCAATTCTCACAAGCTGATTTGTCAAAAGTCAACGAACAGTTGGCTGAATGATTCACCAATTTGGCCAACTTTACCAATCCACTGAAAACTTTTCCAGCAACCAGCATTGGATGGCAAGTTTTTAGCAGCTCTTGAAGACTTCCGCAAGGATTTAAGTGGTACACTTTTCCTTTTATAGTCATATTAGCATTTTAAAGAATGATTAGTTGTCAAAAACTAAGAGTCATAGGGAGTTTTGACTTCTTGTCAATCGATTTAACATTAAGAGACATGTATTGATCACTACCATGTCAAAGATGATATGCCATTGTTATAGCGTATAAAATTGCTGAGAAACTAAAACGAAGTCATGAAATTGGTCACCTCCAAGAAGGCAAGTCTTGGGTGTGCGTGTATGGGGTAGGGGGGAGTCTCACATTCAAAGCTATAAAGAAGAGGAGCGATGGGGTGGGGATTTGTCCCTAAAACAAGGACAGCAATCCTTGTATTGGGCTAAAGTCACCCAGGTCAGCTGAGGGAGAGCCTGTGAGCCGTGAGCCTGGCACACAGTAAGCGTCTCATTAATGTCTGCTCTTCTCATTTAACTCTTGCATGAGTGAGACCCTAATAGATACATCCTCTGACTGAAGGTAGGGACTGCAAAGGATTTGTGCAATGAATGACCAGTTCGCTGAATCTATCAAAAACATTGGCTTTTTCTTATGCTTTTGCTATATTTGTAAACCTTACAGAATTTCATAGTAGATGAATTAGCAGGACTCCCTTTGTCCTCAGTCTCTCCCTTTCAATCTCTGCTCTTCTCTACCTCTCATCCTTCCCCTCTCTCTGCCCCTCTGAGATCTGCAGTGATAAGTTTGACAATTGTCTGACAAATTCACAGTCAATTTTCAGCAACCTGTCTTGGTGCCAAGCCCACAGCTGCTGGTAAGCCCAGGGCCTGGATTTAGAGTCTATCTGCCTTGTTCTGTGCCTGTGCCCTTTCTACCACACCACCAAATGACACAAGGGCTGGGGGCCACTCACCGAGGTCTCTACGCACAGGCACAGGGGCTGGGCAGTGGGCGGCGTGGGGAACTTCCTGATGCATGGGAGCTCTCGGTCCAGTGCCTCGTATTCTGCAACGACCTGGCGCAGGTGCTGCTTCCTGGGGAGAGAGAAATCGGGCAGGGACCTCTGAGGTCGAGGTCACTGCCATCACACTCCAGAGAGCTGAGGTCAGAAGTTTTGGCACTGGGGTCACTCACGAGGATTTGGCGGACCTGCCCAGGCTCCAAGCCTGTGTCTCCTCTGGGGTCTTGGGGTCCACATGGAGGGCTCCTGGGGACATAGAAGTCAATGTCAGCTGGCCTGAGCACTCCTCACACATTATTCTGCTAAAATGGGCATCACCAAGTCCTGTCCATGCCACCCCCAGAATCGCTCTTGTGCTAGTTATTAAGCTACTGTCTTTGAGCTCCAAATTCCACCCTTCTACACCGGGCTCTGAGATACCAGGAAGAGGACTCGACCAACCCCATTTCCATTCTGACACTGAATTCCTATGAGGTTCCTATTAGGCTTTGCCTAAAGGTGGCGCTAGAGGGAGATAGCAAGGCAGGAGGAAGAGGAAGGGACTTGCCCCTTTTTGCTTCCTCTTGCAGTCACCCCAGCCTCCCTTCTTCACTACAGCAGTGCCAGTTCTCTCCAGCAGTAGCATTTGAATCCAGTTTGTGGTTTTTCCAACACTCAGAATCAGCCTCCTGATTAGAACTTGACTGATAACAGCTCTCAAATCTGGGCCCGTCTAGACAAGCCCACCATCGGCTAACTGGTCTTTTATGGCCAGCTGCTAGTTGTCTGCATAATCCATTTTCCCCTTCCAATACAATTCTAGAGTTTTATCTGCACATGGCCGCCCAGCTAGAGACAACAGTTCCCAGCCTCCCTTGCAGCTAGATGTGGCCCCATGACCAAGTTCTCACCCACAGTGTTAGTGGGAGTAAAGATGCATCTTTGGAGACATTTGCTTAAAATAGATTCTTCGTCTTAGACTTGTTGTCCCTTCCCTTAGACCAGAATGTGGATGTGACAATAAGCTAGCTTCAACCATGCTATAGGTGGTGGAGCCACAATACAGAGGGAACCCGGGTCTCTGACTCATCTCATGGGCTAAGATCTCCCAGTGATCTAGACCACCTGTCTCTCATTACATAAGAAATAAACTGTCTTCTTAATACCATTGTGTTTGTTATGGCAGCTGAACAAAATAGCCCCTGGCAGCCAGGAGCTGGCCTGGCCCTCCTAGCCAGGCCATGGTGCTCTCCTGTTGGCATAAACAATTTCACAGAACACCACCAGCATTAGCCAAGGCCACACTGTGATGATGATGAACCAAGATAGACATAAGACCACTCTGGAGTCATGCCTCAACACAACAAAATGTGAACGTTGCCTAAATCACAAAACGACCAAACAGACCCCCCTCTTGGCTCAGAGCTGATGCTGATGCTTTTCCAATCATAGTATTAGCTCGATTCATTCTTCCTGCCTCAGGGGTTGCCTCCGCTTCCTGCCAGCACCTGATTCAGAGCACAGCCCCACTTCCCTGAGTCCTCCCAAAGTTGCCTAACACAGCCCAGTTCCTATAAAAAGTTCTAACATCCTTTCACTGAGGCTTTGCATGTGTTACGGTCTTCCTCATTACAAGTCAATAAACTCAATGGTGCGTGTCTCCCTCTCTCTCTCTCTCTCTCTCTCTCTCTCTCTCTCTCACCCTTGCACACATGCATATATGTTCTTGCACACACACACACACAAGTAGCAGCATTTGCCAGTTTTCATGGTGTCAGTATTCCCTCCATGACCAATTGCATGCTACCCATAGTTCTAACAACCAGCTTGCGAAACTCAACAGTGGACTCTTGTGAGCCGGTACAGGCTGTCTCCAGCACACAGCTATGCTCCTGGCGGCCTTTGACTTCAGGGAATCAACATAGCTTAGTTTGTACCGTAGTAAGTCCCCCTCTCTTGCCTGTGTCCTCCCACCTCCTATATGTTCCTGCAGGGCAGCTGGGGTAATCTTTTCGTCTCAGCACCCCATCTTACAAACCACGAGAAACTTCAGTTAATTCTTAGATAACAGATAGTCCAACAGTCACTTTAAGTTCCAAACAATCTCAATCCAGAAATTAGAATTTAAAGTCCAAGATACCAAGTGAAACTCCAGACTTGGTTTAGAGTTAAATTGCCACCCCCACAACATGAATCTGTTTGAGCAAGAAGATTTCCATCCCGTTCTGTTTCTCTACCTTATATTACAATGCCCGTTACTTCTTCACTTCTCTGCCTCCACCTTAATTGGCAGTTTCCGACCCATCGAGTTTGGAGATTGGAAGTGAGGACTAGTAAGGGAATATGTTCTTTCTTAAATGGGTGCCTTGGTAGTCTGGCTTGGCATGGGGGGTCTGGAAGATGTTCACTGTGGACTGTCCCTTGGATGCTATTTTGAGCTTGTTGGCGAGCCCTGTTGCTAAAGATCTGTCATCTCTGGTTCCCATGTCAATGGCATTTAGAAGTATCATTCTCACTCCAATTTAAAAATTACTTTGTTTTGATCAGGAAAGGATATTAATTTTATCAAATGCTGACTTGCTCTCTATTGAAATTATCATAGGGCTTTTCCTTCTTTATCTTCTTAATGTACTAAATTGCTTTAATACATTTCCTAGAGCTGATTACCTCTGCATAAGGAAAATGAACCTTACCTGTTGTATTTGATAAAATTGTTCACTAAATGACAGCCATTCTGCCCTGAGTAACCTTACAGAGCAGTCTTGTTTTCAAGTTGTGAAGTATAGGGTTTGATTTGCTAATGTGTAATTTATTTATTTATATACATAGATTTTTTTCAAATGTGTTAGTTCTGTGGTTTTAATTTTGAGTGTCTTTATAATATTTTGACACTAGCATTCAGCTATAGAATTCATTAAGAAATGTTCCATTTCTTTCTGTACTCTAAAAACCTAATGGCATAAGAATTATTTAATCCTTAAAGATTTACTTTAAAAAAAAAAGAAAGAAAGAAACTTCCTTTACCTTCAGGATCAAGTCCCCTTGTTTGAAACACGGCATTTCAGGGCCCCACCCCAGATCTACTAGATCAGAATCTGCATTTTAACTAGATACCCTTTGAGAAGCACCTGTCCTGCGTGTGGTCCCCTCTGTTAACCTGTCTGATCACGTTCCTTGAACCATACTGGCCTCCCTTCCATCCCTCCAACACAATAATCTCCTTCTTAAATTTGTCCACTCAACAACAATAATAACTACATGTTTACAGTCCCTTTCAAAAAAGCCAAGCACTTTTAAAAGCACTTTCCAGTGCATCCTCATGACAGCTTTCTGAGATAGTGTAGTTTAACAAATGATGAAACAGAAGCACAGAAAGGTTAAGTGACTTGCCCAAGGTCACACAGTCCAACGTGATGGAATCAGGATGAAAGTCTAGGTGTCTGGATCCAGAGCCTGTTCTCAATCTCCTCAGTCTGCTGCCTCTTACCTCACTCTTGTCTGAACCACAGCCTCCTAACTCCTTTTAATTTCTCTCTCTCTCATCACCCCATCAAAATAGCACTTGGAAATATGAACCTGATCATATCTTCCTCTTCCTCAAAACCCTCCGAAGACTTCTATTGTCATTGGGATAAATTAAGTTCAAAGTTCTCCCTGTGGCTCGCAAACCCACACATGATCAGACCCAGCTGATGCCTTAAGCCTGTTCAGGCATCCTTGTCATCCTGCTTTGCTGCATTCTGAAAACACGGTCCTGTGACTGGAACTTTCCATGCTTTCTCCTGCCTCAGGACCTTTGTCTTTCAGCAAAAGAGAATATGGCCATCTGCAGAAACTTCCCAGAATTCTCTTCAGCCTCAAGACTAAGGAGCACTTATGGCCATTGTAGGTTATTAATTATTTGTGAGATGGTGTGTCTCACGTCTGCCCTCCCTGCGTGAGAACAGGCTGCATCATTCCATTCATTAAGCTCTACAGGTAAAATGCTTGGGACTCATGGGCTTTCTAATAGCCTATGCCAAAACTTGCAACCTGATAAGCTGAAAATGTTATTGGTTCCAAAACACCACAAAGAAAACAGAAAAACTGAAAATGAACAAATATTGATCTACTAAACTGGCCAACTGGTCAACTCAATTCCACTCAACTTTCCTGGAGCTATACACAACTTATATTGATCAGGTGGGTGCCTCAGTCTATATTAGAGATGGTGTGGGGTGGGGTTTTCAAAAGACAGAGGCATTCAAAGACACTAAAAGAAAACTGAGGGCAGAGAAACAGTGTCTGTTTTGCCACCAGGGCATTTGCTATGCCTAGCATAGCACCTGGTACAGGGTAAGTGCTTACAGCAGACGCCTGGAAAAGATACCCCTTGAGCCGTTCTCATCCTTTTTCCTCCATTTGATGGGGGTCTGGTTCCTCATCCATGTGACTCAGGGGAGGCTTACCAATCTCCAGTTCCCTCAGCAATATCCCCTCCAGTTTAAACCAATGCCTTTCAACCCTTACTATTCATCATAATCACCTGGCAAACATTAAAAAAAGTATAGATGGTATAATCCCAGACATAGCGATTCAGGTTAAATTGGATCTGAGGTGGGATTAGGTATAAATTTTTTTAAATCCTCCCACCTGATGTGTAGCCAGAGTGAGGACCACTGACTAAAATAATCATAATTTAATACCTTTTGCCAGCAATTAAGATAAGAGTGAACAGATGCTGGCCAATGAAATGTGAGGAAAGATCATCTGGGAGTTCTTAAGATGAAGACCTCTGGAAGTGATGCCTGGAGCTATGGCAGCCATCTTGTCACCATGAGGTAAGCAAGCTTGTGTGAAAAGGGGATATATCCCAGACCAAAAAGCAGGGAAATGGAAACTGGGTTCTTAATGACTTCATTAAGCTGCTGACTCAACCAAACCCAAAGCCCACCCCAGCTATGGGCTCCTTTTTGGGTAGATAATGACTTTCCTATTCTTTACACAAGTCCAGTTTTCTATTACCTGCTAGCCAAATGTATCCTTACAGAGATATTACTCAACAAATATTGAATGAGTGAATGAATGAATGCTCTGTGCTAAAGTAGAGTGCAAGTAGGGAACCTTGGAACATGAGCCTGAAGTTGTCAGCTGGCGTCAGGCCACATAAGGCCTTGAATACCAGGCTGAGGGGTTGGGACTCTATCCTGGGAGTGATGAAGAAGGAAGGAAGCTGTGAGCAGGGGAGAGACAGAGTCAGCGCTGGGTGTCAGAATGACCCCTCTGGAGCCATGTGGGGAATGGCTGGAGGGGAGAAACTGGAGACCAGCGAGTTAGGTGGAGAAATGATCCACATGGAAGAGGGCAAGAACTGAGCTGGGGCTGTGGGGATGGAGAGGCAGGGATAGTGGGCAGGAAGATGGGGCTGGGGACTGATGGCTGTGGGAGGGAATGGGGAAAGCAGCACCTGGGGTCTAGCCCAGTGACTGGGTTGGTGGTGGGACCATTAGCAGATGGGAAGCAGGGAGGAAGAGTGGCTTTGGGGGAAAATGCTAAGTTCAGCGTGGCAGTCAAGAAGAGTGTGAGGGACCAGGGTGTGGTGTCTAGGGAAGGTAATGGCCTTAGAAGACTAGTTAAGACCCCAGAGGTTCATGGGAAATGTAGCTCTGGGTCCAGAGCATTGGCCAGGGAACTTCAGAAACTCACAGGAAATGTAGTGAGGTTCAAAGGGTACAGTCCAGGACTCTGGTCGACCTAAGAGTCTGGGGTGGGCGGCTCTCTTTTTGGAAGGCCAGCGACTTGCTTAAGAGCACACTGCATGCCAGGACTAGGACACAATTCATGAAACAAATTCCTCTTCCCCCCTCCCTACACACACACACACACACACACACACACACCACACACACACACACACACACACACACAAACACACAGACAGGGCTCAGTACCTGCCTCCCTGTGCATACTGGGTGCGCCCATGGAGGAGCACAGGGGCTCCCCCTCTTGCTGCATCCTGGGAAGGTGGGTGAGGGAAGTCTCAGGAGGGTGGGGAGAAGAGCTCTGACTAGGCCACCCACCCCAGCTCCTTCTCCCTGCTGCTGTCTCCTCCTTTTCTTTGAAGCCCGGGGGAACAAATATGGAAGAACCGGAAGGTTGTGAAGACCACATTGAGATCCGGCTTCCCCTAACTTCTGGGAGTCCCTTTGTGCCCCAATTCCTTCCTTCGCACTTTCCTGTTTCTTCCTCTACCTCTCCCTGTCTCCTTGAGTCTCTACCCCTCCCCCTCTCTCCCCCTCTCTCTTTCTCATTCTCTTCCCATGTCTCTGCCCCTCTCCCTCTCTCCCGCTTTCCCCATTGTGTTCCCCTGATTTCTCCTAATCTCTCTCCCCATCTCTCTCCCACTCTTTCCCTTGATTTCTCTGCCCTCTTTCTCTCCACTTCTCTCCCCCTCCTTTGTTCCATTTCCCCAATCTCCCCCTCTATCAGTTTCCCCAATGTCTCCCCAGCCCCCCTTCACTCCCTCTCTTCATAGTTGTCTGCCTCTCTCTGACCCTGTCACCCTCTCTCTGTCTCCCCACCTCTCTCCCCATCTCTCCCCAGTCTCCTTTTTCCATCTCTCCCCATCTCTCTCTTCTCATAGCTGCCTCTGCCCTGTGCGTTGGCTCCCCTCCCCTCTGTCATCCCCTTTCTGTTCCCACTTGCCCTCTGCTCATCCCTGTCTCACGCAGGAACTGTTTAGACACAGGTGAGATTCAAACAGAAACTGAATTCTGTATGGGGGAGGGAAAGGTGGGCAGAGGGCCTGGTTGCCATGGTACCTCCAGAGGGAGGGGGAGGGGCTGGAGGCTCTGACTCCTGGATCTGAGGGAGGAAGGGGCTGGGGTCCTGAATTCCTGGGTCTGCAGGGGAAGGGTCTGGGGCCTCCTGGGCCCCAAGTGCAGGAGTGAAGGGGTCTAGCCACATGGGTGCCCAATAGGCATCCCTTTCTTTGTGTCTGCAGAACTATGGCAGAGTAGGCTGGACTTTCTCAGTTATTCTGTCTGTCCTCCCAGTCTGTCTCTGTACCTGTATCTCTAGTCCTCTTCTGTCTACTTCCAGCTGGTCTCTGTCTTAACTGTCCATTACTCTTGCTTGATCAACATCAGTTCCCTGCTTCCTGGTGAACCTTGATTTTCTGAGTGATTTTTCTCAGGGGTGAACTTAAAAATCAACCAAAGAAACAAAGTCTTTGGACTTCTGCTGAACTTGTGTAAAAGAGGATCTTTGTTTTTCCATTGAGGTTGCCAGGCTGGTCAGAGCCTAGGCTGGAGCTGCTGGGAGCCATCATTTTGCCATATGGTAAGACAACCTGCCTGAAAGCAAAGACGGGAGGAAAGGAGACCAAAGATGCAGACAGTCAGATTCCTGATGTGACTGGGACACCAGGATCCAGTCGTGCCTGAACCCCTCATCCACACAATTAAGTTTCTTTTCTGCTTAGGTCCTTTGAGTTTCTGTCATTGGCAATGAAAACAGTCCAGGCTTAATTAGATTCATTTCCAGACTCAGTTCCTCTGTGGCCCTGCATCCTCATGTTTCTTTGTCTCCCATCAGGCTGTCCTCCATTTCCAGTTGCCAAGTCCATCCCTATGGGAAAGGGGACATCTTTCATTCCCATGACCAGGCACACCTGTCCCCCAGAGTCCATAAGACCCTAGGCTCCATCCCTTCTGTCTCCTGACTCCGCTGCTTTCGCTCCGCTTCATTCCCGTTGAGGACACCCACTCAGGCTTCATCCTCTCCTGCCAGGACCCTCACCCCAGCCTCATTCCTTTCCCCGCAGGGTTCCAGAGGGCTCTTGCTGCACCCAGAGCTGCCACTGCCCCTCCGCTGCTCACAGCCCTCCCATGGCTCCCCAGCACCCCTGACAACATTTCAGCTCCTCAGCCAGGCGTTTGAGATCCTCATGACCTGGTCCCACCCTCCTCTCCCACCTCACCCCTTCAAAGATTCTCCAGTCACCTTTTATTAATTATTTTATGTAACGAATCTCTCCCAGCTCATTCTTGTCTCTATTTCCCACAGGCTATGCCTTCTGTCTGGAATGCCTTTCCAGACTCCCCTTTTCCTGATGCCCAAATGCCACCATTCTTTAATAGTAAATTCAAATGCCCCCTCCTCCAGGAAGACTTCTCTGACTCCTCCTCCTCCCAGTTGTGTTTTATGTCTCCTTCCTTTGCACGTTCTTTATCTGCTCCTTTTCCAGACCTCTGAACCCTGTCCATTCCATCGGTCTTGTTCAGGGATTTGAGCCTGTGTCTTCCTCCCTCTCCAGACCAGCAGCTCCTGACTCACCTCTGGGACTCTGGCATCACCCCGCTCAGGGAAGTGCAGGACGTGTATGCTGAGTGAATAAACAAGTGAATATTTCCCTCTATCACTGTGAACCACACTCAGCAGCCCCAACCCCATCTGCCCTCTCCCTCTTGGTCCTCCTGAAGCAACATAGGACTCTGGAGTTAAACAGAGCAGTATTGAATGCCATGTCCAGGCTGTGCAACCTTGGGCAAATGTCTTTCCCTTTCTGAGCCTAGCTTTAGCTACCCCCTCTGGAGCTCTCTCTTTCTTCCCTCCTTGAAGGTCTCTCTCTCCCTCTCTCTCTCTCTCTCTCTCTCTCTCTCTCTCTCTCTCTTTTTCTCTCATTCCTTCTAAAGTCAGGGTCTCTATGTTCCCATCTCTGTGTCTCCATTTCTCTCTATGTCTTTATTTTTCTTCCTCTCTCTGTCTCTGGAAACCTGACTTATCTTGCTCTGTGTCTGAATTTGAATTTCTGTTTCATGTATCTATGTCTTTCTGTGTCAGTCTCTCATTCTCTGTATCTAGACCTTTCTCTTTCTCTCTCTCTTTCTCCCTCCCCCCCTCCCTCTCTGTGTGTCTTTGTCTCCATTGCTCTATTTCTCTATCTGTTTCTCTGTGTCTCTCTATTTTTCTCTCTATCTCCTTCCCTGTCTCTCTGCTTTAGCTCCACCAGCCTCCCTCTGCCACTCACCCATCTCCCTCAGGCCATATCTGCCCCACTCCCTCGCCTGGCACACAGCCTGGGACACAAATCTCTGCATCAGCATTTTCCTCCTATTCCAGAAACTATGGCAGTGCTGCAGTGGGGCTGGGACTGCTTATAGCCCTGGTCAGAGGATTTGCCTCCCTAAAGCCTTGTCCACACAGACCCTGGCCAGCTTGGCCTGCCTCTCTTCTCAGTATTTGGTCTCTCTAGGGGGGGCACTGGGATAAGAGGTGAATTTGTCTTTACACACATATGCGTATGTCTCTGGGTGTGTGCATTTACTTCCAGGCATATTTGTGTGCAAATTGGCAGGTATTTGTTCAAACTCATCCATTCCCTCATCTATCCATCCATCCATCCATCCATCCATCCATCCATCCATCCATCCATCCATCAACTCATCCATCCATCAGTCCATCAATCCATCCATTCATCCATCCATCAGTCCATCCATCCATCCATCCATCATCCATCCATCCATCCATCTATCCTTCCATCCCTCCATCTACTCACTCATCCATCCATTTATCTCTCCATTTTCCCATAAACTTATTCACTCATTCATTCATTCATTCATTCAACCAACCAATATTTATTGAGTGCCTACTGTGTGCCAAGTACTGTGGACACAATAGTAAACAAACTGAAGTGCTGCCCTCGTGAAGCTTCTGTACTCAGTGGTGCTCCTCAATGAGTCAAAATCCCCTCCTGTCTCAGGCCTTGCACAGGCTGTTCCTTCTCCCTCTTACCACCCCCATCTTCACCAGACTCAGGCCTACTCACCTTCTGAGCTCAGCATAAACGTCATTTGCTCTGTGACCTCCTTCTCACACACACAGCACCCTGGGCTTCCCATCATGTCCCCTGTCCCAAGGCTGAGATTTTTGTCTGCTTTGTTCTCAGCTGCATCCCTGATGCCTAGAACAGTGCCTGGCACACAGTAGACACTCAGGAAGTATCTATCAAATGGCTGCATGGATTGAATTGAATGAATGTGGAAAACTCTCTCTGTCTCCTGGTTCCCTGTCCAATGCTCTGTATTATTCTACACTCGGTGGTTATGAGAGACAAAGTCCTCAAGCTTTCTGGATGCAAACAAGGTAGTGACTGAATGCAAGGGCTCTAGGTTCAGACCTATGTAGCTTTGAATCTCAATGCTGACACTTCCCAGCTGTGTAACCTTGGGCAGAGCACTTCCCCTCTCTGAGCCTCAATTTCCTCACTTGTAAAATGCAGTTAAAGGGCACAGAAACAGGTGCATGTCATTGCTAATTATGACAATACTACTAAATACTAACCATTTTCACCTCATATGAATTTAATCCTCAAAATAACTTAGTGACAGAGAATCTAGGTTTTAAGAAATTATACTCATTTACAAATAGGGAAACTGAGGCATTGAGAATGTAAGTAATTCATCCAAGGTCACACAGCAATGACAGAAGAGCTGGGATTTGAACTTCAGTGCTTTGCCCCCAAAGTCACACACATTGACCAGAGCACTAGAGCTGCCTCTCGATGCGTGGGCAGCCTCAGAACCTGAGTGTCTCCAGGAATATGTCCCAAGAATCTAGCAAGCCCATCTGTGCAAATGCCTGTAGAGTATATGCATTGTGGCATACTTCCTTCCTGTAGCTCTTCCTGTAGACAGGAACTGCCTGTGGACCCTGGGTGGGCCCCAGCTGGGTGTGAGGGTTGAGCTGTGAGACTGGGCCTTGGGATGCCTGGACCTGTGTACACACATCTGTGACAGTGTAGCTCTGGACATTTTCCAAGTGATTTAATTCCATGGGCTTCAGTTGTCTCCTCTGTGAAATGGGGATACCATAATTGCACACACCTCCTAGGGCCAAAGTGAAGATTAAATGAGAAAACTCTTTCAGAGCACTTAGCCCAGTGCCCAGAATCAGTGGCAATTAACATTAACTGCTATTAATATACCAGTAACTGTTTTCTTGCTGCTTTTAAGAATTATTCATTAAGCACCTACATGGTGCCAAGGCGATATGTACATTGCCTGTTTTTTCAAACCTCTGCATCCCTTAGGAAACAGATTTATTGTCTATATTTTGTTGATGAGGAAACCGGAGCTCAGAGTAAAGAGTGCAAGATGACAAAGGCAGGAGCCGGCTTAGGCAGGATTCAAACCCATGTTCCCGCTGGCACTCCCACACGGGGCTGAGACTCCGACCGCTGGCTCTGAGGCTCCACCTCCCCTTCCACCGCCAGCCCTCAGCGCTCCCCGGGGGCGAGGACTTGAAATCCCGGGTCGGTCCCGCTTGAAGGGGACTAGGGGGTCGGGACTCCTGGGTCCCGGAGGAGGAAGGGGTGGGCAGGGGTGGATTCCTGGATCTGAGCATGGAGGTGGGTGGGAGCTCCGCACCCTGGGTCCTGGGAGAAGGGGTGACTGGGGTCCCCGACTTCTCCGTCTGAAAGAGGAGGGGCTGGGAGCCAGGACCCTTGGATCCTGGGGAGCAGAAGTTCATGATCTCAGATCTCTGGATCCTCTAAGGAAGCTCTCTGGGTCTCTGACACGTCAGTCCGGGGAAGTCTCCCTTCTTCCTTGCAGTGGCCGCGCGATTTCGGCTTTCAAGCCTCAGGTTTGGAGGGGAAGAAGGGGGGGTGCAGGGGGAGGAGCCGCGGACCTGCGCCAGGGGTGGGGGGAGGAGCCAGCGGGCACCGCGGCGGGCGTGCGGGGCTGCTGCGGCTGCGGCGGCGGCTCCGGTGAGTCCGCTCCTCCCCTCCCCCTGCCACAGCCCCCGCCCCAGCTCGATCCTGGGGGGCGGCCCGGGCGCGTGAGGGCAGCGGTAGGTGCAGAGGCGCGCAGATCTCCGGCCCGGGAGTGGGAGTGCTGCAGCGCTCGCTGGCCGCCCCGGGGGAGGGGCATGTGGCCCTGGAACAGGGGGACCCGAAACACCTGGGTATACCCCAACCTCCCCCACCGATCCCTTGTGCGTGGGGATCGTTTACCCACTTCACGGCCCCTAAGGACTTAGGACTCTGCTGCGTGTCGAGGTCCCAGACTTCATTCCTGTCCCCTGCAGTGCCTTGGGACCCCGGCATCTCATAACCCCCCCACCTCCAAAAAAAATCCCCATCCTCTCTGCAGGGAGGCATTAAGGCATTAAGGACTTCAACTCCCAGTAGCCCCTGCAGCGCCGGATCTGTAAAGCCGCAGCAGCGCGGACGCAAAGCCCGCCGGGAATTGTAGTCTCTAAACTCAAGGAGCTGGGGACCCGGAGGTGGGAGGGGGTAGTTGTACCTCCGGGGTCGCCTGGGGTCGAGCAGCTGGCCCGAGTAGGACAAGATGTGAGGCTCGGACTAAGCTTTTATTCCCGGCCACGACCTCAGATCCGGCACCCCCTTTCACCACCTGGCGCGTGGGGACGGGTCCGCAGCCCCTTGTCCTCCCTACAACCCCCATGGGCTGCCGCCAGCCGCCTCGCCTGCCACCCAGGACACGGCAGGGATAAGCGCAGGTGAGTCTGACCATTCCTATCGCGGAGTCTTTGCCTTCTGCAGCATCCCCACGACACCTGTCTATCTGTGAGCCCTGATCGTTCTGTTCCCAGTCTCCCCGTCACCACTGTCTTTCCAGTCCATCTCTGATGTCTGGCTCCAAACCATGTGTCGCTCATCCCTCCCTCCTCGTATCCACCTTTCTCCTGGTCCCCTCTTATTTATGCTGTCCCCATTCAACCCCAACCTTCCTTCTGGACCCATGTCTGTCTGCCCAGCCCACCTCTGTATCCTTTTGTCCATCTGTGATCTCTGGCCATTATCTGTCTGACTCGCCTTTATTTGTGCACTCTGTCCATCCATTTGCCTGTCCACTGTTTCTCTCTCAAAGCTATTTTTGTCCACATTCTTACCTGGCCCTCATCACTGCCCCTCTGTCCACCCATCTTTCACACTCCTATGAATCACACACCAGCCCATTCTGTCTGGCTTTCCAACCCAAGCCTCAGTCTCTGACTTCTGTCTGTCTATTCATCGGTTCCTCTGTTCTGAGCCCCAGTTTGCCTTTACATTACCTCTGTCTCCCCTCCCCTCATCTCTCTGTCCCTCAACTTGGTCCCCATCTCTGCATGCTGCATCTCCATCCCTCCCCAACCACCACCACATACAACCATCTCATCTCTACCACCATCCAACCCTCTCTCTTGGTCCTCTCCCTGTCTACTCCAATCTGGCCTCCTTTCCTTCTCTTGGACCCACCAAGTCCTTTCCCACCCTAGGCCATTGCTCATGTTGTTCCTGCTGCTTTGAATGCTTTTCCCCACTCCAGATTCACTGGCCAGCTCCGTCTCTTCCTTCAGGTCTCAGAGTGCACTCTCCACGACCCTTTCCTCCCCTCACCTCCTGGTTCCTTTGTGGCCCATCCCCCCCACTGTTTTTTTTTAGAGCACTTCTCACAGTCTGAGAGTGTCTTGTTTGTTAATGTGTGTTTGTTGACTTGTTTAATCTTTGTCATCTCTCAGTGGTTGTGACACCAGGAAGTTAGGGAATGCGTGGATCGTTCCTTGCTGGATCTGCAGCAGCTGGCATAGTGCCTGGCGTGTAGTTGGCACTCAGTGACTATTTGTTGAATGCATGAGGAATGAATGGCTGTCCCCTTGTCTGTCCATCTCCCAATGCTGTCCCTTCACATCTGCACCCCTAATCTTTGTCTTCTTGTCTATCACCCCTTTATTTGTGCATCCTTAATCCCTGCCCCTTAACTGGCCTTCTCAGTCTCTTCCTCCTGGTCCATTTGTCCCTATTCTCTGTCCTCTTGTCTATCCATGCCCATATCTGTCTCCTTGTTTGTCCAACTTTTTGCCTACCCACCCCTAATCTCCATCTCCTTGTCCATCTCTCCCCAATCTCTGTCCCCTTACCCACCCTTCCTTTTCTCTCTTTCTCTTTGCACCCTTTATCTACTCTCTCCCCACCAACCCATTCCCCCCTTGTATCCTTGCCTGGCCCCTCCCAAGCACAGGACCCACCGGCCACCATGTCAGGAGACTACGAAGATGACCTCTGCCGGCGGGCACTCATCCTGGTCTCGGACCTCTGTGCGCGGGTCCGAGATGCTGACACCAGCGACAGGTGCCAGGAATTCAACGACCTGCGAATTCGAGGCTATCCCCGGGGCCCAGATGCAGGTCAGTACCCCCAGTTGTCTCTGCCAGGGCCCTGCCTCCACTACAGCCAGGATTTTCAGAGATTCAGAGCAGACCCGCACAGTTTTCTGGTCCCTGTGAGGCCAGTCCCTCTTAAAGTCTTGCCTCCATCCTGCCTGCTGCTGTTCCCCCAAACCTCTGATCTAAGGAGAAGGAGCTGTGTGGCCCTGACCTTTTGGGTTTCGCCGTGTGGGCCTCCCCCGACCCTCCACCTCTACTGTGCTGCCACATATACCCTTCAGATGTCTTTGTGCATCTCGCATAGTGCTTAAAAGCTCAGGCCCTTGAGTCAGACTTGTCTGTGTTCAAATTTCACCTCCCCCATCTGCTAACTGGATGGCTTTAGGCAAGTGACTCTTCTGTGTCTCAGTTTCCTCATAGGACAATGGGATAATGAAAGTGGCTACCTCATAGGACACCTGAGAGATTCAAATGATACAACACATGTGAAGCACTTAGAACAACCTAGGCACACAGTAGCCATTTAATAAATGTTGGGATGTACTTATTAAACACCAACTGTGCCAGGCAGCATGTGGAAATCCTTCACCTAGTTCATCGATGACTCATTGACCATTTGTGGTACATATAATCTCCATTTTTGGTGGGGAAGCTGAGGCTCAGAAGGGTGAAGCGACTTGCCCAAGGTCACCCAGCCAGGAAGCAGCAGGGTTCTAAGAGCTAGGAAGTATTATGAGTGCCATTATCAATGAGGACTCCTGCAGAAGCATGTATTGGGAGGTTTAATGATGGTCACCCTTGCTGAGTGCCAGGGCAGGGCTTGGCATCTATGTGCAGGATATCCAGGGCACAGGGATGAGAGGCCCAGGGAGCTCAGAGTCTCACAACCCGTAGGCAGAAGAGCCAGAACTTAGCCCTGGGAAGTCTAGTACACTCCGGCAATTTGGAGGGTTCCCAAGACCACACTGAAGTTCAGTGATTTCCTAGAAGGGCTCACAGAACTCCGAAAAGCTGCTATACTCATGGTTACAGTTTATTACAGCAAAAGGATGGAGATTAAAATCAGCAAAGGGAACAGACACATCAGGTAGGATTCAGGAGAGACCACACAGGAGCTTCCATTGTCTATCCTAGTGGAGTCACACACACAGCGCTTAATTCTCCCAATGATGTATGACAGCACACAGGGTATTGCCCTCCAGGGAAGCTCATCCGAGCCTTGTTGTCCAGGGCTTTTATTGGACGTTGGTCACATGGGTATTGCTGACTGCCCATGTGGCTGACCTTGGTCTCCAGCCCTTCCAGAGGTCACCTGATGCCACATGTCCCAAGGCCCCCACCATCAATCACATTGTTAAATAGACTACCTGGTGTGGCCCAAGGTTTCTTGGGTGAACAAAAACACTCTTTCAGACAGGACATTTCAAAGGCTTAGATGTTCCCTCAAAGGCCAGACCTTTCTATGGGCAAGATGAATCTTTTACTGCATGACTCCACTGCCTCACCAAGCCCAGTGGCTCCCCAGTCCTGGCAGACAGGAAGGAGAATTCTGTCAGAGTTCTGAAAATTGATGTTTTTGCTTGGAGAGAGAGGGTCTGGGTCAGGCTGACAGTGGGGGAAAGCATCTATTCAGTTTTCCCCCCTCTTCTCTGTCTTGTCCTCCCAAACAACCCCCTTTCTGAATTCTTCCCATGTTCAGGAGGCTGAAAAGTCCTTACTCTGGCTTCTAACAGACCTGCAGAGCTCAGCAAATGTTGGTCACTTAGAAAGGAACATCCTAATGGGGATAGGAAACTCAGAGTTCTGTCTCTGCCTGCTGTATGGCCCCATAGAGTCACTTCCTCTCTCTCTCAGCTCATCCGTTTCCTCATCTGTAAAATAGAATAAGTCATCTCTAGGTTACACAGTGCTGTGAGGATTAATACTGGGCCACTGACTTATGTAGATTCAGTGGGCAGTTCAGGACTGGAAAGCATTCCCTTGCCACGCAGCGCACCCTGAAGTGACAGGACACAGCCATTCCACTCAGCTGTCCTTGCTGCCAATGGCTGTTACCTGCTCCCCTGTCCTGTAATCCATAGTCAGTACAGAGCAGGAATTTTCCCTTTGTTCTATCTTGAAGAGACCCAGGTATCAATCCCCAAACAAATTCACATTTCCTTGAGGGTCTTTTCTGAAAAACCCCACTCTTGGTACCAATTATGGAATGAACCAGAACCTTTGGTTCAAGAACTAGGCTGTACTTGGGTTTCTCTGAAGGGCATACCAGCACACAGTAGGCATTCAGAATGTGTTGGCTGTGGTGGTGGTGGTGGTGGTGGTGGTTACATGTGACAGTAGCGATGACATTTAGTATTCTAATAAAAGGTCACTTTTTAACTACCATTTATTGGGGCCTTTTGAGGTACGGTAGCATAATGGTAAATACCATGGGCTCTGGAACCAGGCACCCCAGAGAGGCAGGACTGATTTCTCCCATCTGGCAAATGGGGAATATAAGGCTCAGAGTGGTTAAGATATCTTCCCAAGGTCACACAGCAAGCTAGGATTTGAACCCTGACCTGCCTAACTGTGCCATGAACTCTTCTCTCTTTGATCATCTCAGAGCATTTTGGGGGACCTTGGTCCTACTTCAGATAGTGTATCCTCATATAGAGAAGCAATGTGGGCTAGCTATTAAGAAAATAAAATCTGAAGACAGATAAACTGCTGATTAAAGTTCCAGATCTGTCATTTACTACCTGTGCAGCCTTATACAAGTCACTCAGCTTCTCTGTGCCTCAGTTTCCTCATCTTTAAAATGGTTATATGGAAATAAAATGCTGCCTCATAGGGTTGTGGAGTTTAAACTAAATAATATATGTGAAGTGCTTAGGAAAATGCATGGCAAATACCAAAAATTATTTTTTTTAATTTATTTTTTTAAAATTAGCTCTTTGGGGACAACAGTGAGAGGATAAACTCTGACCCTACCCTGACCCCTGACCTCTGTCCTCACTCTCTTCAGACATCTCCGTGAGCCTGCTGTCGGTCATCGTGACGTTCTGTGGCATCGTCCTTCTGGGCGTCTCCCTCTTCGTGTCTTGGAAGTTGTGCTGGGTGCCCTGGCGGGACAAGGGAGGCTCTGCAGTGGGCGGTGGCCCCCTGCGCAAAGACCTAGGCCCTGGGGTCGGGCTGGCAGGCCTGGTAGGCGGTGGTGGGCACCACCTGGGGGCTGGCCTGGGTGGCCATCCTCTGCTCGGGGGCCCACACCACCATGCCCACACTGCCCACCATCCACCCTTCGCTGAGCTGCTGGAGCCAGGCAGCCTAGGAGGCTCTGACCCCCCTGAGCCCTCTTACTTGGACATGGACTCATACCCAGAGGCTGCGGCAGCTGCAGTAGCCGCTGGAGTCAAACCCAGCCAGACATCTCCCGAGCTGCCCTCTGAGGGCGGGGCGGGCTCTGGGCTGCTCCTGCTGCCCCCTAGTGGTGGGGGTTTGCCCAGTGCCCAGTCGCATCAGCAGGTTACAAGCCTGGCACCCACCACCAGGTGAGACAGGCTACTGGGCTGGGGATCCACTCTGAACGTCTGCTCCTTTTTTGTGTCTGTTTTCCCATCTATGGCTCTCCTGAGTCCTGGGGGAGGAGAGGCCTGAAGGACCAGAGTTCTGAGTCCTGGGACAGTAGGGAGCTTGGGGTATGGACTCCTGGATCCTAGAGATAAAGGAGACTCAAACTCCAGACTCCTGGGTTGGGGAGGAGGGGTGGGAGCCTAGAGTCCTTGGACCCGAGGGCTGGAGGCCTGTGCTTCTGGATCCAGAGGGAGGAAGATGCTGGAGACAGGACTCCAGAGCCAGGAAGGTGGAGAGAATGATGAGGGCTAGACCCCTGAGTTCCTGTTGCACAAGGCAGTTCCTCCCTTTCACCCTAAGCCAGGATTGGTGGTGGTGAGACCTGGAGCCTCTGTTCATTAGTCCCCATACTGCACATGTGTATTGAGCACCTAATATGAACTAGGCCTGAATGTTGGAAACACAGAGGTGAGCAGGCAAACAAACCATGCTCTCATGTCACTCGCAGTTTAGGGGAAGTGGGTTCCTAAATCAGTTATCTTGGCCCAACCAGGCCAAAACTGCAGTAAACTAGCTTAGGAGACTACGGCTGTGGGATTTGATGTATCAAGTTAATTGATTTATGGGTGTTGAACCATCCATGCATCCCTGGGGTGAATCCCACTGGGTCATGGTGTATAATCTTTTTAACGCATTGTTCTATGCAGTTTGCTAATATTTTGAGAAATTTTGCATCTATGTTCATCAGAGATATTGGCCTGTAATTTTATTTTTTCAACAAGAAAAAAGGAGGACAGATTGGGGAGATCTGGAGAAGGGCAGATGAGGGTTGAGGGGGCCTGGACTGTGTGGGGCCCCAGGGGTCCATAGAGAAGTTATTCTGGGTCACCAACTTGAGGTCCAGGAGGAGGCTTCTGGAGGTTGGTACCCACACAGGTCTGGGCTGGAGTTAGCTTAGAGAAGGGGATAACCCCCAATACAGATGGGGATAACCCCCAGTACAGATGGGGAAACTGAGACTCAGAGAGTGCAAGCGACTTGCTCCAGGTCACAGTGAGCAAATGTAGGGATTTGTGGGCCCCTGGCTGTGGGGTTTGGGGAAGAGATAGGGGGGAGTCTCCCACATCTTCAGATGCAAAGATCGGAGCCACCCACCCCACCTTGGTCTTCCCTACCTCCACAGGTACCCGGCCCTGCCCCGGCCCCTCACCCAGCAGACCTTGACCTCCCAGCCAGACCCGGGAAGTGAGGAGCGGCCGCCCGCTCTACCTTTACCCCTGCCAGGTGGAGAGGAAAAAGCCAAGCTCATCGGGCAAATCAAGCCAGAGCTATACCAGGGGACAGGACCTGGTGGCTGGCGGGGCGGCGGGGCCCCGGGCTCTGGAGAGGCCGGCACTGGGGCCCCCTGCGGCCGCATCAGCTTTGCCCTGCGGTACCTCTATGGCTCGGACCAGCTGGTGGTTCGGATCCTGCAGGCCTTGGACCTCCCGGCCAAGGACTCCAATGGCTTTTCAGACCCCTACGTCAAGATTTACCTGCTTCCTGACCGAAAGAAAAAGTTTCAGACCAAGGTCTGGGGTGACAGGCTGGACATGGGATCCCATAGAAGAGGGGATGGGGGTCTGGACCCCTGGGTCTGAGGGAGGAAGGGCTTGGGGGGGTCTCATGAAAGAAGCAGCTGGGGTCAGGGACTGATGGGACTGAAGGAACGGGGCTGGGTGTTGGCGGGACCTGTGGTTGGAGAAAGCTGGGGGCCAGGATTTCTGTGTCTGAGAGAGAAGGGGTTGGGGGCCTGGATTCCTTGGTCTGAGGGATGGGGTCTGGGGTCCAAAGTCCTCGGTCTGAGGGAGGAGCCCTGGGGGTCAGGACCCCTGGGTCTGAGTGAAGAAGTGAGGGCCTGGACTCCTGGGTCTGAGGGAGAAGGGGGCTGGAGGCTGGGACTTCTGGGTCCTGGGGAGGAGGGGCTGGTGGGCATGGTGTCTGTCTCCCTCACCACCCCCTCCTAGGTGCACAGGAAGACCCTGAACCCTGTATTCAATGAGACATTTCAGTTCTCCGTGCCCCTGGCTGAGCTGGCCCAGCGCAAACTGCACTTCAGTGTCTATGACTTTGACCGCTTCTCGCGGCACGACCTCATCGGCCAGGTGGTGCTGGACAACCTCTTGGAGCTGGCCGAGCAGCCCCCCGACCGCCCGCTGTGGAGGGACATCGTGGAGGGTGGCTCGGTCAGTGGCCCCTTCATCCTCTTTCCTTGGGACCCGGCACCAGCCAGTTGGGGACCTCCTTGCGTTTGTGCTTCATAACCTTCTAACTTCTTGACCCTGGAGTTTTCTTTTAAAATTTAATTTTATTACAAAATATTGCAAGTGTACAAACAAGAATAGAGAATGATATAATGGACCCTTATACTCCCCACACTTTGTCCCCAGATTTCCCAACTTTTGACCCCCACTGACATCCGATGGTAACAATCAAGAAAACTGTAATAGACACGCGTGTACCCACCAGCCAGGTTTATCAACACTTCATGCCATGACCCTGTGACTTATGCTGTCTGACCCAACTTCCTGACCCCAGAGTTCCCAGCTTTTGTTTTTCCAACTTCCTACCCCTTCCAACCTCCTGACTTTCCACTTCCCAGGCTTCCTGAAACCCCAACCTTTCTGATCTCCAAACATTTTACATTTCCAACACTTGACCTCCAAACTCTCTAACCTAATCCTGTTGTCTTCACAGTTTCCACCCGAGTCCTGATAGCCTGATCCTCCAGGCCTCAGACATTCTGGGATCCCAATATCTGACACCCCCAATTCCCCAACATCCAGATTTTAGGACCCATCGCCCTGACACCCCCCACCGGCCCCCTTCCTCATTTCTTATGATCCTTGCTGTCTGGAACCTCATTCTCCTGTACGCCCAACTCCTTCCCCAGCCTGCTCCTAGGTCCTCGTCTGATGTCCTGACCCCTTCCTCCCCCCAAGCCTCAGACCCCCAGCTCCTCAGCCCTCTCAATTCCAATCTGGGTTAGCTGTGTGTGTCGGGGGTGGGGTGTGAGCCCTATTCTCATATCAGGGGAGGGCTGGCTGCCCACCAATGGCCATGCTCAAGGTCCTTCCTTTCTCTGAGCCTCAATTTCCCCATATGTACAATGGCATAGCTGAACTGGTGTCAGTGACTCTTCCTTAGCCTGCTTGCTCAGTGTCCCGAGCCCAGTTTCTGAGAGCCAAGTGCCTAGTTCCAGAGCCCCTGACTCCAGGGCCCTCATCTCTCCCACCAAACCCCACTCCCTGTCATAAGCCTGAGGCAACCCCACGCGAGGGCCCTCTACCTGCATCCATCTTTGTTTCCTGTGCCTGTCACTTGTCATTTTCTCTCCCCCTCATCATCACTCAAGGTCTTCACTCATTCATGTATTCATTCATTCCTTCAACAACTGGTTTTTGGTTTTTTTTCAGGATCAGGACCCGGGGACCCCAGACAGTTCTTGGGAGCTCCGGGTCTAGGTTGTCACAGAGTTTGCTGTCAGGGGCCAGCATTCTGGGGGACAGGAGAAGCATCTGCTCAGGGCTACAGGGGCTCTGGAAGCTTGTGGGAGGAGGTGATAGCTGAGCTGAAGCTTGGAGATTGAGAGGATGGAACAGTGACTTAGGCCTGGGTCCCTGAACCCCCCACTCACTCCCCTCCGGGCCAAGGGGAGTGAGTGGGGGGTTCAGGGACCCAGGCCTAAGTCAGTGTGGTCAGGAGGCCAGGTGAGGCTGCAGGGCTGGGTAGGGTGGCTCGTAGGTCCTGGCGAGTTCTGGCCACTGCTCCGGGTCTGTCTTCTTGTAGCCTCATTCTGGGTCTGGGTGTGTCTGTCTCCTTCCCTCCCTAAGACTGACTTCTCTGTGTGTCTCTTCTCAGTCTCTGTCTCACTGTCCCTGGATCTCTGTCCTTCCATCAGGGTAGGTCTCTGTTTTCCTGTCTCTCTGGGTCTTTGCACTTCCCCTCTCATTCTGGTCTCTGTGCCTCTCTCTGGGTCTCCATACTTCCACCAAGTCCCTTTCCCCATTTTCCTGGGTCTCTGATCTGGCCCCTTGGGACTCTGCCCACCCCCAGGACTCTGTACTCTCCCCCCATTGGAGCCTCTGCTCCCCCTTTCTTGTTCTGGGCCTCTGACACTCTCCATCTTTCTGCATCTCTGTTTTTCTTTAGATCTCTGTGGGTCTGTCTTCCTAACTACATTTCTTAGTGTTTTGGCCTCTGTCTCAGCCTGTTTCTCACTGCATTCTTCTCTCTGTGTCCGGCTCCCACTTCTCCCCCCACTTATGCCTCTTCCCATCTACCCTGCAGAACAAATAGGCTTTGACGGTGGCAGGCAGCTGTGGCTGGGGCGTTACCAGGTTTGGCCCAGAGTCAAATTGTTAAGTGGATCGGAAACCTGAGTCCTGGATATCAGGGAGGAGAGTTGGAGCTCGAGATGGAAGAGCAAGTCAGGGGGAGATGGGGACTCTGAGGCAGGGCATTGCTGAATCCCTTTCCCAAACTGCAGGAAAAGGCAGATCTTGGGGAGCTCAACTTCTCACTCTGCTACCTCCCCACGGCTGGGCGCCTCACCGTGACCATCATCAAAGCCTCTAACCTCAAAGCGATGGACCTCACTGGCTTCTCCGGTGGGTTCTGAGGAGGCGAGGCATGGGGATCTGAGGGAGGGGGCGGGCCTGAACTCCTGGGCCTGAGGGAGGAGGGCCTGGGGGCCTGGGCTCCTGGGTCTGAGGCGGGCTGGGGGAGAGGGGGGGCTAAGGGAGAAAAGACTAGGGACCCGGACCAAGGACCAACCGTTAGGCCTGGGAGAAGAGAGGTCCGAGGGAGGAAGTTGAGGTTCTGTGCTGTCCATGTCCCTCCCCGCCAGACCCGTACGTGAAGGCCTCTCTGATCAGCGAGGGGCGGCGTCTCAAGAAGCGGAAAACCTCCATCAAGAAGAACACGCTGAATCCGACGTACAACGAGGCACTGGTGTTCGACGTGGCCCCTGAGAGCGTGGAGAACGTGGGGCTCAGCATCGCGGTGGTAGACTATGATTGGTGAGGAGTGCTGCCCCAAAGCACGAGTAGCAGGGCGGGGGTAGGGGGCCTGGCCCGCCCCCCTCCCTGCCTGGATGCTCATCGACCGTCCCACCCCCACCTCCAGCATCGGGCACAACGAGGTGATTGGCGTGTGCCGCGTGGGCCCGGAAGCTGCGGACCCCCATGGCCGTGAGCACTGGGCCGAGATGCTGGCCAACCCCCGCAAGCCCGTGGAGCACTGGCATCAGCTGGTGGAGGTGAGTGGGCAGCCGCACAATGCCACTCACCCCCCAAGGCATTCACCTGGTCGCTTCTTCGCCCCTTCATTCATCCAATGCATCACACCTTTATGGGCTGTGGAATCAGAAGCCTAGGTGCGAATCCCTCTCTGTTCACAGCCCTCTGGTGGCTCCCCAGTGTCCCCAGGACAGAATCTTAGCCCCCCCCCCCAGGCCCTGCACAGTCTGCCCCACTCACCCCAGAGGCCTCATCATTCCTCACATTTCTATTGACTTCTTTGTGCCTCAGTTTCTCCATCTGTAGAATAGGACTGTAATACCATGTGCCCCATCACTTCAGAATCGAGTGAAAAAGAGCACTGTGAATGAAGACAACAGGATTGGTGTCGTATTATGTTGATTATTAGTGATTGTTTTGCCTTTGTCCCCCACTCCCGAACCTTCTGGATTTCCCACTTCAGGAAAAGACTTTGACCAGCTTCACAAAAGGCAGCAAAGGATTGTCAGAGAAAGAGAACTCAGAGTGAGGGGTAAGGAACCCAGACGAGGGGGAGGGAGATGGGGGCCCAGACTCCTGGGTCTGAGGGAGGAGTGGCTGGGGGCCAGGACTCCTGGGTCCCTGGGTGGTGACGGAGCCACAGGAGGTCATGGGCCTGTTCTGTGCCATCACTGACATCTCCTCCCTGCTGGTCCTACAGGTCTGGCCTAGGGCCCAGAACGGACCAGGCCCCCTCTGGACCCCATCCCTTCTTGCCCGGACTGTGAATTCATCTCCTCGAAGCCATAACGTCCGAGCTGCGTGGTGCGGGGCAGCCCTGGGCTTGCCCATCCTTTTACCCCTGGAAGTGTGAGGGTGGGAGGCAGGTGGGCCCAGCACCCTGCTTCAGGGTGGCGGGCATTCAGTCTCCACTGTGTCTGTCTCTCCTTTTCTGGGGCTCCCCTTCCAAGCAAGGGGCCATGCATGTCTGGGGGACCCCAGGCCCCCAAACTCTCCGTCTGTCTGTCTTTTTGCTGTTTGTTCAAGACTTGGTGTCCTGACCCTCATTCTCACCGTGAATGTCAACAGACCAATCCACCGTGTTCTCCTAGACACACATACCTGTATCTATCCCTTCTGTTCGCCACACCCCGCGTCTGGCCGATCCCCCCACTGCTGCTGCTATCAACGCCAGAATAAACACACACGTGGGTCTCACTCAACCTGGGGCTCCTGTCCTCTCTGGGACCGGGAAGCTGGGCTCTGGGTTCAGACAAGTGTCCGCATCCACTGGCTCGGTGGCCTTTGGTATACTTGATCTCTGAGCCTTAGTTTGTAAATGTTACATTGGCCAGGACCACTGTGTAACATAGGACTCAGAACACAACCCAAACCACTGTAAGCCACAAGCAGAATTGAAAGACCTCTGTATATGGCAAGTCTGAGACTACAAAAGGACTTCAGGCATGGTTAGATTCAGAGTTCAAGTGACTACTTCACTCTTTATTGGCTTCATTCTCAAGCAAATCTTTGCAATGGTAATAAGATGGTTATTTGGAGCTCCAGGCTTTTATAATGCTGCATCTGTTATGATGTCTTCAGCTGCATAAAACAGAATTCCAGTGGAAAGAACTGAAATGATAGAGATTTCTTTTGCTCGTATAGCATATACTTCAAAGACACACAGTCCTAGGGTTAGTTCAGCTGCTCAACAATGTCAGGTAGTGGGTTGGCATCTCTGAGATTCAGTTTGCCTTCCCATCATAAGTATAAACTGTCTGTGGCAGCACCACACACGATGTTCTTACACAGTGGCATCTAAAGCAGGAAATGTGAACAGGCCTCCCCTTATGTGTGCATCTTTTTTCTCCCCAGAAGAGTTCTCCTTACTTCTCATTGCCAGAACTGGGTTCTATGGCCACCCTGAGTTGGAAAGCAGTCTGGGAAAGTGAGCATCTGTCATTTCTAGTTTCCATTGTGGGGTGTGGGCTTCGTCAGTGAGGCAGCACAGAGGGGAACGACTATTGGAAATTAACAGGATGTGCTGTAATCACCCTCAGAGCAGATAGTTTCAGAGGAAACAAAATTGATGTCTCGCTTTCTCTGTCTGTCTCTCTGTCTCTCTTTCACACACACACACACACACACACACTCACTCACTCACTCAAGAAAAGGATTCTGATTGGTCACCTCAGGCCAATCATGTGTCCAATTGGCAAGCTTGCTCTTGAGCCCGCCCCCTGCCATGACTGACTCCTCCTCTCCTTCCCTGCCCATCTCACCTGGGATTGGCTCAGGACCCCTCAGGACCTCATCCCTTCTTGCCTATCTGTGAATTCATCTCCTGAAGTCGTAACAGTTTTTTAGTAAAGAACGTAGGTGTCCCTTGATTGACAGCCCCAACTGACTCACGTGGCATTGGGCAGGGAAAAGTCCTTCAAATTAGTAGATGTCCAGTGTATTCTGCCCTTGGCTACTTGGCGTTAATTCACACCCACTTGCCCATAACCACAACTTGAAAAAAATTCTACCATGAAAAATGGTACAACCAATGTATTAATCTGCTGGGGCTGCTGTAACAACCACAAACTGGCTAGCTGAAAACAACAGAAATTTATTCTCTCATAGGTCTGGAGGCCAGAAGTCTGAAGTCATGGTATCAGCAGGGTTGGTTGTGGACTCTGGGAGAGGCTCTGTCCCACACCCCTCTCCCAGCTCCTGGTGGCTGCCGGCAGTTCTTGGCGTTCCTTGGCTTGTAGACGCATCACTCCAATCTCTGCTCCCGTCTTCACATCGCCTTGTCTCCTGTGCTTCTCTGCCTCAAATCTCACTCTGCCTTTCTCTTTTTATGAACATATAACACTGATGTTTTTTATTGCCCTCTAACTAGGAGTATATTTTACTCTCTTTTCTCAACCAGTGAGCAGCAATTTTCAAACCCTAATAAATGTCAAGCTTATAAAGCTTGTAAAATTCAGCTTTAAGATAAACAGTGCAGTCTATTAACAGCCACAAGAAATGCAAGTTAATTTTAACCTAATAAATATCCTGAAAATACCCATAAGAAGACAGTCTATCATGCCAAAGAAACATCTTTTAAACCAATGTCATACTCTCTTGGTTTCTTGGGCAGGCTGCTAGTTTATTCTTTACAATCTTTAATGATAACACTATCTTCAGCAAGTGTTTATCTGGTACACAAATGAGCTTTGAAGTCAGACAGCCTAGACTCAAATTCTTTCTCCCCACGTATTAGCTCTATGACTGGGCAAAGTATATAATTTCTCTATGCCCTAATTTTTAAACAGTAAGATAGAGAAAATGATAATGCCTACTTCATAAGAATGTATTGCAGGTTAAGGGAAATAATGTACATGAGACACTTAGCATGATATTTGGCATATAATAATATGATTCAAATGTTGGCTATTAATATTGAGAATAATGGTGATTATAATTGCTAATGATTATCATATATTATTAGAATGTATTTGTGCATTAGGAATCTTTGTAATCACTTCAATATTGACCGACCTATTATATAAGTATCAGCTGTTCCAGAAAGGAGCAAGATATTTCAGTGTAGGGAAGTCTAAACAGGATCATTTTTTATCACCAGTTTGCTTTGAATAGTCATAGTTGGTTACAATCATTCCTACATATTTTTTTTCTGCCTTTCTCTATAAGGACATGCGTCATTGGATTCAGGGACCACTCTAAGTCCAGGATGATTTCATCTGAAGATCCTTAACTTAATTACGTCTTCAAAGCCCCCTTTTCCAGGTCAAGTCACATTCACAGGTTCTAGGGGGTTAGGACATATCTTTTTTTTTCCCCCCTGCTGTTTTTCAATCTAGTTGTGGGAGGCACAGCCCACCATCCCATGCGGCAACCTTCTTGTTAAGAGCACGTGCTCTAATCAACTGAGCCATCCAGCTGCACTGCGGAGGGTGCAACTCACTGGTCCATGTGGGAATTGAACTGGCAACCCTGTTGCTCAGAGCTTGCACTCTAACCAACTGAGCCACCAGGCCACCCAGCACATATCTTTTTGAGGTCACCATTTAACCCACTACAGCCACCTTGAAAAAAACAACTTGTCAATTTCTTATAAAGTGAAACCCAAATGTACCATGTGACTCCACAATCCCACTCCTATTTACCCATGAGAAATAATAACATATGTCCATGCAAATATTTACAGCAAACTTGTTCATAATAGCCCCAAGCTGGAAAACTGGAAACAATTGAAATGTCCATCAACAGGAATGGGTAAACGAATTGTGGTATGTTCATAGGATGGAATACTACTCAGCAATAAAAAAGAACTACCTACTGATAAGTGTAGCACCATGGCTAAATCTCAGAAACAATGTGTCTTGTGAAGGGAGCCAGACACTAAAGAATACCAACTGTATGACTCCATTTATGTGAAATTGCAGACAAGGGAACACTACAAGGGACAGAAGTCAAATCAGGGCTGCCTGGAACTGAGGGAGTGTGGATAAGGAGTTACATGCAGGCAGGAAGGAACATGGGATCATGGAACCCTTCCTTCTCTTGATCATGGAAGTGGTCACACACCGTATACAATTGTCAAAACTCATTGAAAAGTACACTTAAAATTGGTGCATTTAAAATTTTTTTTATTTTAAATTTAAAGACACACAACATAAAATTTGCCATCTTAACTCTTTGTAAGTGTACAATTCAGTGGTGGTAAATACATTCACGTTGTTGTGCAACCAGTCTCCAGAACTCTTTTCATGTTGCAAAATGGAAACTTTATACCCATTAAGCAACTTCCTGTTCTCCCTACCTCCAGCCCCTGACAACCATCATTCTACTTTCTATCTCCATGAATTTGACTGCTCTAGGTACCTAATATAAGTGAATCATACAGTATTGTCGTTTAATTGTAACAAATGTACCACACTAATGCAAGATGTTAATAATGGGGAATTGGGGTTCAGGGTTCTTTTATACCATATGCCCATTAGGGTACATGGAAACTCTACTTTTTGCTCAATTTTTGTGTAAACCTAAAACTGCTGCAAGTCTATAAATTTTAAAAAAGTCATGGATAACAGATGTCAGTCAGGCAAAAACAACAGGTGTCCATTACACGGGTCCATAGCTGCAGTAGGTGTCCACTCTAATAATAGTTTGCACGTCTGTGATTACGCGGATTAGAAGACATAATAAAGGTGAATGCCCTTTGAAAAGTATTTGAGACCAAAGTCATACATTATTCTTGAGCACGCAGTTTCTCTCTTCCCTCTTATGATACTGTTTTCTAGGGCTAGGCCTTCCTTATGACTTTGCTATTGCAGATAAAGGAAGCCAATCAAGGGTGGATTGCCAGTGACGTCTTCAAGTCACCAAGGCCTCCAAGGGCCCAGCACACTGTGGTGCCCTCTGGCGGGGAAAAAAAGGCTATATCTGTGAGAAGCCCTCTCTAGTCAGCTGACTCCGGCAGAGTCCCAGTGCCCTGTACAACACCCCTCACGCCCCCTGGCGACTCAAGTCACTTTCCATGGCCACATTACCATGCTTGTAGGAGAGACCGGCCATGAGCGAGAAATGCTGAGAAACAGGGAAGATCAAAATTCCCTGGCATCCAATCAGATACAGGCATGGACTCGACAAGCATCCAGTGAGATGAGCGGATTCAACCAAATAGCTCAGGTATCCAATTAGATAGGATAGAGTTGCCATGACGATACGAGTCTCTGTAAGGTTTATAGGGTGCAAGATCTCTGGCGCTAAGCGCCACCTGGTGCTTGGCAACGATTGGCCACCCAGTCCAGCAACCACATGCTGATCGAAGGCAGCCAGTAAAGCGGGATAAAGCCTCCGTGACATCATCAGTTGCCAAGCCAGCCATCTGGTGCGTGTGAGCTCGCCTGTGAGCTGGAGTGAGTTCCTGCGAGCCTGCAGGCGGGTAGTGAGCACTTTCTCCAGTGCGGCAGTTCATGCGCATGCGCCTGTGGCTTTATTTATTTATTTATTTATTTATTTATTTATTTATTTCAGCGATAAAGGGCGGGAAGGGGCGTAAGGCGAAGCGTGAAGCGAGAGGAGTGACGGCGACAGCCAGGCTGACCGGGAGATAGGCCTAGGTGGGCCCCTCTGTCCCAGGAAAGGCCTGGGAGAGGGCGTAGCCCATAAAATTCTTGTGGCGGGACAGAACCCTGAAGGGAAACATCCAGAGACAGACGTGGAGAAAAAGGGCTCCAAAGGGACAGAGAGCCCCCCACCCCCCCAGCCTCTCCCCACACACACACATACGCAAACCCACAGGGGCAGAAGGTGATGCAGAGATGAAAGGAAGGAGAAGCAGGAAGTGACAGAGGAAGATAATGACCCCGCAAAGGGAAGGGCCCAGAGGCGAGACAGACAGTGAAGGTGATCAGGACCGATGGGGGTCATGTTATAGAGACGGAGGGGACAGAAGAGGAACCCATGGTTACAGATGGAGGGCCTGAAGGCAGAGGGGGTGCGGAGGTGAGGGTAGTGAGGACAGTAACAGAAAGAGTTGGAGAAGGCAACAGAGGGGACCATGTCAGACGTGCAATTGACTATGTTGAAGAGGATTGTCAGAGGCAAAAAGAAAAGTAGCAAAGACAGAGGAGACAGTGAGTCAGATAGAGGTGAAATTTCCAGAGGAGATGGAGAGGCGGTCAGCAGGGACTGAGGACTGAGGCAAAGACCCCAGGGTTTTTGGACAGAGTCCAAGGGGTCTAAGAAAGAAGGGTGAGAGATCAAGAGGATAGTAATAGAGAGAGAACAGTGTGGTGGGGAGAGGACAGTGACGGAAGGGACAAAGACCAAGGGGACAGTGATAGAGGGGGAAGAGATATGGGGGACAATGGCAGATATATAGATGGTGACAATCATGGAGCAGAGAAGACCAGAGACTCAGAGGCGACAAAAATATAGACAGTGAAGGAGGGAGGAAGGGAAGGAAAGAGAGAGGAAAAAGAACAGAAAATATAGAAGTAATATAGGGGAAAGGGACAAAAATAAAGGAGAAGGTGTCAGAGGCAAAGTTGGAGGCAACAGTGACAGAGGCAAAGAGAACAACTGCAGACAGAGTGGGTGGAGACAAAAGTAACAATACTAGAGACAGAGAAAACAAAATTAGATGAGGAGTGGACCAATATACAGAGAATACAGAGAGAGGATGGAAACAGAGCAATGGAGGGAACAGAAGTAATGGGGACAGAGACAGAGTTAGAAGGCTCAAAGGCAGAGAGGGGACCGTGACGGAAACAGAGGAACAGAAGAACAGGGGACAGAGATGGAGGGTTCAGAGTTGGCGGAGACAGAAGAGACCAAGACAGAAGAGGGAATAACAGTAATGCACAAACTTAGAGTGAAGAGCAATAGTGGTGACTTCCAGAATGGGAGTAATAGGGCATATGCAACGACACAGCAACAGAGGAAGAAATAAAAGCAGGAGGGATGGTGACAGAAAGGACAGTGATGGAGACAGAGTGTGGAAACACAAAAGGCATAGAGACAAGGAAAGGGGGTGGGAGAGAGATGGAGGGATTGGTGACCAGGATGGAGGTTAGCTTGGCAGACATCCTGGAGATAAAGCTAGGGAGAAGGGATGCCGGCAGAGTCAGAACAGTTGGAATCGAATCTTATAGAGGGAGGTAGAGACAGAAGGACAACTTGACCAAGACACAACAGAGAAAGACAGGGATCAAGTCATAGAGATGAATAGAAAGACAAGAGCAAAGAGAAAGGAAATGGAAGGGTCAGAGTCACCTGAGACCCAGTGAGAGATAAGGTGACAGACAAAAGCAAAGATGGGTAGGGAAGTGAACAAAGTCCCAGAGAGAGTAAAAGGGACATACCAACCCATGAATACCAACTGTGACCCACTACCCAGCCTAATACCTGATCCTGGGGAGTACTAGAAACCAGGGAGGCTCGAGCTTACTGCTTTATGCCCCTCTGATAAGTTGTGCCCTTGATTTGGGATTGTGCTTTGAAAAGTCTCCACGCAGATTCTAGATTTATGACTGTGTCTGAACCCCCCAGTTGTCTTGCTTTGGCTCATTGTAGCCACAGCACAAAGAGGTTGCAAAATTGCTCTTTTTCTCATTCATACATTCAACAAATGTCAAGTTCTCACAATGTGTCAGGCCATAACTGAAGAGAAATTTAGAACCCAGAGAAATAATCAGAGTACGTCAGCCCTGAGGGAATTTTACAATCCTGGCAAATTTAAACTTTTATTTTGATGGTTTCTTAGATGAGGGGGATGAAAAAAACTCAGGGCCCTTCCAAGGTTAGGAGTCCACAGTAAACCGGGAAAGCAATGGCTATACCTGCAGGGTAAGGGAAACTAGAATTAAATTGACCCTCATTTGTGAATTTCCAGTCCGTTACATGTGTGGTCCAAAAGACCTCAGGTTGTGAATTTATTAGTCTCAGACCAGTAGTGTTTCTAAGCTTTGACAATAGCACATGCCAAAAGTGTTCTCTGGTGAAAAGATACATCATTAAAGGCTTCAAATCATTCCTGTAAATATATTTTCCAGGAAAATGAGTAGTACACGGTCAGGTATAACCAAATAGACAAAGTGCCAGGAGCAAGAACCAGCAAAAATAAGAGACCCCAAAACAGATGCACTAAATACTTGTGATATTGGAATTATTAGACAAACATAAAAATAATATGCTTTGTTTATATAAAATATAAGATTGCCATTTTTTACATGGACCAATGAGCTATAAAAATTTACCTAGATGCTTTTAAAATGACAAAACTAGTAGAAACTGAAAACTTAGTGAATAAGTTTAAATAACAGCTGAGGGCCGGCCGAGTGGCGTGT